GTTCTTCTCTTGTTTTTTCTTTTTTTGTTTCTGAGACAGTCTCGGTCTGTAGCCCAGGCTGGCCTGGAACTCACATAGCTCAGGTGGCCAGAGTCCTTGCCTAATGTTTTTAGAAGAATCTGACTTCCACATCCTGACAGTGCTGACAGCAGCCACGCAGGAATTCAGGTGTTAACTGAAGGTGTCTTTTCTAGCAAGTTCTCCCCCATCTCTGGGGAAGTCCTTTGGCATCCTGGTGCGGTGCTCAGCTCCTCTGTTGTACTTACAGGGGAAGACACCTATGATGAATTTGAAAGTGACCTGGGCATCACAGCCATCGCCCTCTATGACTACCAAGCTGGTGAGGCTCTTGCGGCACAGTGCAGTCAGCCGCCCTCCCCCAAGACTGATGCTGAGCCACGTTTCCAGATTGTTTTGTGTTGGAGGCAGTTTGTGTCACCCAGTCTGACCCTGAGCCCCAGGCTTACGCCACCCTCCGGGGGTCCTCCAGGGAAGGTCACACAACCCACATGGCAGGGGCCACCTGGCTCTAGTGGCTGGAGGGCCTTGGAAGCCACGGGGCTCTTCCCCGTGTGCTGGCCACATCCACCCCACCTGGCTGCGTTCCCTTCTGAGCAGCGTTTTATGGAATTGGTGGGATACCCCAAGTTCTCAGGATCCCAGCCTCCATTATGGAGGGACTTCCTGTTCCTCTTCCCTTCGGGATGGAGACCTAGCCAACATTTCCTATATGTTACTCGCCTGGGCTCTGTAACATTTGGGCTGGATTTATCCTGACCCGTCCCACCCCGGCCTATCACAGTGTCTTTCTAGCCTTCATGTGCATAACCGTAACCACCCTCGGCAGCGTCCCTCACCGCCCAGTGGCCCTCAGTGCCCAGCCTCGAGGGCATCTTGCTCCGGTTTCTCTGTTCTTCCCCTTAGCCAGGTCCCATCTGACCCTCTGTGTGCTCCTTCCCTAGCGGGCGATGACGAGATCTCTTTTGACCCCGATGATATCATCACCAACATTGAAATGATAGACGATGGCTGGTGGCGAGGGGTGTGCAAAGGCAGGTACGGGCTCTTCCCGGCGAACTACGTGGAGCTGCGGCAGTAGAGTGGGCGCCCGCCTGTGCCGGCACCGGATTCACACTACAGATCATCTGCGTGGGTTTGGGTTTGGGTTCTGGTATTTGTTTTTTCTGAGGGCGGTGGGGGATATACATATTGCCTTTATATTTAATACTTAAGCTGATGCTTTGGGACACGTCTGTGCCACAGAATTTGCTAATATATGGTAATCATGTTCTGAGGAGAACTTGGTAATCACTTTGACCCATCAGAAGCTCTTTCTTTTTCTGCCCAGTTGACTGTCATGTGTAGCCATTTCAGGGGTCTGTGGCTCTCTTGCAGTCAGTAGTGCATGTGGCATTGTGCCCCTTTGTGACAGTCAGGGGTCCCCTGGGATGGAGATGACAGTGTTCCCATAGTGGCCTCATGGGTGCCAGGAGGCAGTGGCCTGGTGAGGTAGAGGTTCTCTGGGGTTTAGCGTTTGGAAGGAGAGGAAAGGGGACCAAGGGAAAGGAATTGATGGAGGCGGGATGCTGACCAGCACAGGAGGGTTGGCACGCGGAAGCCCCATCTTTGGGTGCTGATGACTTGAGCCAGGTCCCAGGCTTTGTTTTGTTCCTCCTCATTTTGTCCTGTCCCTGCACCTCCCCTGGGTTCTGGTCTCAGGTGAGCATCTTCTCCTGCCCTGCCTGAAGTGTTCTGTCCCTTGCCTGGCCATCTTGGTCCAGGCCCATAGCGCAGGCTGTGTCTTAGAGACCCACCAACAGCTGGTCTTGGGCAGCTGGTCCTGGCTCGGCCTGCAGTGCAGTGCTGGGGTTTTGGACTGGTTCATGATGTTGTGCAGTCTGGGATGTGGGCAGGCAGGTACTGTTTCCCTGTGAGCTGCTAGAACCATGCTTCCCTGCAGGGGAGCTGTGTGCTCTCTTTGCCAAATATGTTCAGTAGGGATTTGTTGATTAATGGATGGATTGATTGACTGACAGTACTATGAGTGAGCCAGTGCTCTACCCAGGGTGCAGGTGAGGTGCGGGTGCAGGCCATGGCCTCCGGGAACAACTGCCCCCGAGCTACCATCAACTCTCCTGGGTGCATACAGGTCCCTCCTGAGACCCCAGGAGGCAGGACCAAGCTGGTTTCACACAGTCGGTGGACAGCTGGTCCCTGTGACAGATCAGTAGCATCTCGGCCTTTGGAACACACAAGGGTTGCTGTGTGCGCTCTTCCTCCCCACGCCCTCTCCTGCTCAGTCCTTGCATCTCCACCACTGGGTCGGGTTTTCTGGGTGACTTACCATATCTGGGATTCTGTAGCACACCTCGTGGGTATGATTTTTTTTAATTAAATATTCAGAATAAACTTTTTTGGATCCATTTGCTGTGTGGTCTCATGCAGGACGGGGCTCCTGGGTGGCCCAGCTCAGAGGCCTCTCACAGGCGGCTCGGCAGCTGTGTCTGAAGGGCCCTGCGCCTCTGCAGGTGCTTTTGGCCAAGGATTCTGAGTGGGAAGATGCCTCGGTTGGTGGCTTCTTGCCACACGCTCTGGTCATCTGTATCGTTCCTGTGACAAAGCACCTGCCGAATGCCACTTAAAGAGAGAAAGAGTCTGTTTGGCTCACAGTTCATGGTGGGAAGGTGTAGAGCAGGAGCAGGAGGCAGCTGGTCACATGACATCCACAGTCAGGAAGCAGAGAGATCCTTAGGAATCTCTCACCTCCCACCTCCACTAATGTAGAGATTATCCCCCACAGGCATGCCCAGAGGCCCACCTCCCAGCTGAGTCTGGACGCTGGCAAGGTGACAACACTGTGACACTACACACCTGAGTTCAGTCTCCAGTACCCAACTTAAAAAGCCGGGTGTGGGGTTGGAGAGTCGGCTTAGTGGGTTAAACTGCTTGTTGCTCTTCTAGAGGATCTGAGTTCAATTCCCAACATAAGCCTGCAACTCCAGCTCCAGGGGATCCAACACCTGTGGCATGTGTATGCACTGCACTCATGTGCACATACCCCCACAAACACAGAGATCATTTAAAAAGTAATAATAAAATCAAAACTTAAAAAAAAAGCGGGGGGGGGAATGGGGCAGGAGAGGTGGTGGCTCAGTGGTTAGGAGTACTGGCTGCTCTTGCAGCGGACCCGGATTCAGTTCCCAGCACCCACATGATGACTAACAATTGTCTGTAACTCCAGTTCCAGGGCATCTTACACCCTCTTCTGGCCTCCTCACATTGTATAACAGAGGTACACTTACATGCAGGCAAAACACTCATACACATTAGAAAATAAATCAAAAATTTTTTTGCATTTATTTTTACTTTATGTGTATGAGTGTTTTGTCTGCATGTGTGTGAGTGATCCTGGGCCAAGTGGCTGGTTGGGGAGTAAAGACCTGGCTCCTGGACCTGCTTGGGCCAGCCAGGGTTAGCAGGGGAAACAACAGATGAAGTGACCAGACCAGTGCTTCTTCCTCAGCTGGTGGCAGGGGTAGGATGGGGGGGCTGCTGCAGCCCATGGCCATTCTGGGGTTTTCAGTGGGCCTCTCATGGTCAGTTCATAGCTGGGTGTGCAGAACGAGAGGCTTTGGGACATGGGGGGGCACTGCTCCTGCCACCCCTGAGGACAGTCAGGCACGGCCTCGCCACACTAGCGCCATCATTCGCCAGAGCCAGATGGCACCCGTGCCGGATGGCACCGTGATGGGAATGGCCCAGAACCCCAGCCACGGCCATCCTTATTACCAGATTTTTTTGTTGCCTGGCAATGTACTTACCACTGGTCCTCTGGAGTCAGGAGCCCGAGCTGGTGGCCCTTCTCCACTGCCCTTGGGGGTCCTGCCCCCCCCCAACAGCCACTCATGGCCAGGGCGACCTGTGGCCCCTCAGCAACCTGGCTGTGTCTTACCTGTGGTGCTGCCCAGACATGCACTTGGCTTTGTGAACTCTTTCTTCCAGTCCAGCCCTGAGAGCTGGCTCCAGCCAGGACTGCAGTCACTGTCTTGCTGTAGTTGGAGAATTACGGTGGGTCCCTGTGGCCCTGTTGCCCCTCTAGCTCTGGGGTCCTGAGCCATGAGGATCCTTATCAGATGGGAGATTTTCATGGGTCGGCCGGCCTGCCTGTGATAGCCGAGTTCCTGCTCACAGCACTTGCCCTGCAGGCCGTCCACAGAGCCTAACGTGATCCTCCAGCCTCAGCCCCTGCAGTGACCCTGGGGATAGCAGCCAGCCCCAAGTCAGCCCTGCCTTGCCTCTAGCTTGGTAAATAGACCTTTGCCAAGTGAGACTCATGGGATCCAAACATGAGGCCGGGCTGGCCCAGGCCCCTGCCCCACCGGTGAAGCTGCAGCCTCCTTTGGGCATCGGCATGGCACCCACAGGATGAGGGGTGGGGGCAGGGACAGGGATGGGGCCATGAGGATGTGATCACTGCCTGTTCCTTCTGCCTGGGAGTGCGGGGAGCAAGTGGCAGAGGTGTGGCACAGGCTCAGTGAAAAAGGACATCATAGGTAGGTTGGCTCATCTCTGGCCTTGGTGGGTGACCTAGCATACCCAGCAGGCACGCTCCCCAGATCATACTGGTTTGTTTGAAGTGCACTCACTGGGGCCAGGGGTAGAGCACCGGGCGTGCAAAGGCAGTTTGACAGAGGTTGGGACATGCCTTCCAGCCTGGACCATGGGGAGGGGGGTGAGGAGCAGTGGCTTCCAGGGAGGTGTACAGACTGGAGACAGCATGTCCAGGGAGGCCTTGTGGCCCAGCGTCTGATGTGCTGGGGTGCACAGGAGTGACCTGGAGACAGCTCTGCCCTGGCTCAAGGACTGGGTGTTTGCCCCACGATCAGCACATCAAGAGCGGGGGCTCTGGGAGTGGGCTGGGCTAGCGGGACCCAGAGGCAGTGTGCAGACCCGGCTGGGACTGGTTTTGGGTGCGTGCACAGTAAGGCAAACGCTCTATTTATGATTGTACACCTCACTATCATTGTACACATACGTGACTGGGTGAGCATATGATTACAATGAAGTGCATCACAGGAAAGGACATGGCAGACAGTCAAGACCTAGGTAACCCAAGCCTGTCAATCAAAACAGACGATCACCCATAGCGACCCCTGGCGACAACTCTGTAGGCTCCACCAAGGCCCTTGCCCCCCCCCCCCACCAGGTGCTTACACCCCCTGCCGCTCACTGTTTCTTCAGTCTTTGAATAAGACGCTGAGAACCTGAAAACACTGCAGACAGTAACCCCGGGGGGTTGGTCTCCTGAGTGTCTTGTGTAGGTGTCGGTATTAGTTACGTTTCTGAGGCTGTGATAAAACACCATGACCAAGGCCAGTTATAGAAGAGTTTGGTTTATGGTTCCAGAGGGATAAGAATCCATCATGGTGGGGAGGTCTCCAGTTTGTCTCTCCATTGCTGTGACAAAACACTCTGACCAATACCAACTTGG